AACTGCCAGGGTGTGCGGTGGCAGAAATGAGATCGGTGCGATTAATCATTAGACGCATGGTTACGCGTTATGATGCATCATCGTGGCAGAATTGCTATTGAGGCAAGGCCTTTTTGTATCTGGCATCGAGGGCTAGCTTTTGTCAATGAGCCTAGAACCGAGGCTCCAGGACAGGATATGTTTACGATTTTATTTTCCACGTCACACGTCACTAATGAGAAAACTTGGGGGCATCTCCAGTAGGCCTTAAGTCGGGCTTCTGAGCCCGTCGAGTTGTCGACCATTCGCACTCGTGACCCGGGGAATGACCGGCGAGAAAATATTAACATATATCGTAATATAGCATGGGATAATTAGCTAGTATTATTTTTATTCCCAAACAAAGCTTATTTTGATGATATTTCGAAATTTGAACCCCGACAATACTTCTGGCATACATGCTTTGGTGACCTATGTAATAATCCACCAACGTTACTCGTTCCTTCTTCCCTTCTCTTTCTTTCTCTCCGAAGACCTCCATCCTTCGTCGTCTTAGCTACGACCCTGCCGCTCATTTGGCCTCACTACTCTCCTGACAGCAGGCGTAGTAGACTGCCACAATGCTCTACTTGACGTCCGATGACTTTCCAATCTGTACGTGTCTTCGCTTTACAGTATTTTGACTGTTCGTGCTAACCTCATGTACAGTCGTACCATTCGGAGTCATCGGGTATGTCGTCTTTTTTTCGGTTTCTTGATTCAAGCTGACGACTTTCTAGTTTCTACCGCTATCTGTGGTACTTGATTCGTATCATTGCCTCCGTCACCTACCGTCCTGTTCCCCTCCCCGAGAATCCCACCTATGTGGCTTCAGAAGATGTTACTATCATTGTACCCACCATCGACGCTGGTGAAGAATTCAAGGAAGCAGCCAACAGTTGGCTTGCTGGCAAACCGAAAGAGATCATCATCATCACCGAAGAGAAAATGCTCATTCCTCTCCAAGAACTTGCCAACGCCGTTGACCCGGAGCGTATTCGCGTCCTCACCGTTCCTTTCGCGAATAAGCGGTTGCAGATGGCACACGGTATCAGGAATACCACGACAGACATCATTGTCTTTGCAGACGACGATGCTATTTGGCCACCAACGCTTTTGCCATATGTGCTCGCATGTTTTGAAGACCAGAAGGTTGGAGGCGTGGGCACGAGTCAACGTGTCCAACCAGTAGGCACACGCATGACAGTTTGGGAGGTCCTCGCGGCATTCCGTCTGACGATCCGTAACATCGAAATTAGCTCCAGCACACATATCGATGGTGGTCTTCCATGTCTTTCGGGTCGTACAGCTGCCTACCGAACGGTCATCCTCAAAGACCCAGAGTTCCTGCATGGTTTCACGCACGACTACTGGCTGGGCAAGTACCAGCTCAACTCGGGCGATGACAAATTCCTGACGAGGTGGATGGTGAGCCATGGGTGGAGTACCTATGTTCAGTGTTGCAAAGAGGCAGAGTTATTGAGTACGATGAAGCCGAACTGGAGATTCTTGAAACAGGTTTTACGATGGACCCGAAATACCTGGAGAAGTGATTTGAGGTCATTATTCATGGAACGATATATTTGGACTACCCATCCATATGTCGCTTATACTATGGTCAGTTGACGTCGGTGACATCATCCTGTCAGCCTTATTTATTTTTATCTCGTTCACAGGTCGACAAGCTCTTTAACCCCTTCACGCTCCTAGTAGGACCCTGCCTCGTCGGTTATCTTGTTTGGAAAAGTACCATTGCCGTTATAGATGGAGGATACCATCTACCTTGGTGGAACATTATCCTCTCATACATTGTGTGGCTTCTCGCCACTCGTACGGCCAAGCTCCTCCCGCATCTCTGGCACACGCCCAGCCACATCATTTATGTCCCTGCGTTCATCCTGTTCGGGTACTATTTCGCGATCATGAAGCTGTATGCGCTCTTCACGCTGCATGAGACTGGATGGGGAACTCGTGCAGGCATTGGCGACCCGACGAAAGCAACGGCTGCCACGGACGGTGGGAATGTTAGCCTCAACGTAGTACAAGAAAAGGCCTATTCTGAACCGTCTAATCCGTCGACGCCGTGCTCAAGCCATCAGTTATTGTATCAGCAACCAACAGGACAGATGCAAAGTGCTTATGCCCCATGAGCAGCATTCGGTGGGCAGAATGGAGACGGGCATCAATAGTCATGAATGCTATGAGATCATGATGCATGGATACTTGCAGCACAGACATTTTCATATACCGGCTCGACCACTGTAAAGGCATCACATTACGGTAGAATTGCTTTCTGGAGTAGTGAACCTCATTGCATCCCACCCTCGTATTCCCCGCAAACGATGACGCGACTAACGTATATCCTCGTACATACCACACACATTACCTTTCTGTCGTTATTCCACGGGATTTCTCTACTCTATTTTGGACTAGCTTGGTCATAATACTCACAAAGCGCTCTCCTACATTGCAGATAGATGCGTCATTCGCTGCATACACATTGGTTTTCTGATATCGCAGCATGGATGTCTCGATCCTTTTTGTGTACAAATATTCTCCGATGTCATACACTGCATATCAGCTTATCAGTTAAGATAAGCCAGTGCATCAGCGCTTGTCTTTTTAAAGAAAGTAGCAATTTTATGCCAAGTTCAATGTCTACTTCTGCCGGACAAGGTCAAGTACCGGAGACATTCTATCCCTGGATCAAGAGATGTTCCGATATTTGTGTATTATTTCCTGGGTGCAGCCAATTTGGAACCTAAAGACACATGTTAGGAGTAAATACGTCATCCCGAACAGGTCCCCGCTTACGAAAGAGCTAGCTTCCATCACGAACTCCGGAAGCGATATAGCCGGTCCAATTATATTCCTCAGTGATGTACAATGTACATATTTATTTCACGAGGCTGCCATCGATGCAGAGCTTTGAAGCTTCGCGATGCCAGTGATCGGAGAAAATGTGGAGATAGAGTCTGGTGGATTGCAATTGTACCGTTAATCATGAGTTCAGTATTAATATATATCATGATGTCCAACGGCGTAAAGGACAAACGGACATACCTCGTTCGGAACCCACATTGTCTCCAAAAATAGGTCCATTGAATTCGTTTCCGGTCAGATCCTGCGATCACCGGCATATGTGAGACCGGTTGGTTGATGATGTAGGTGCACGACCTCGGGATTGGTGGGGGTCGTGCCGAAGGTGTATTTGCTACGCAGAGCCTATCTCGGGTCGCGCCACTGGCCCAGTTTTACATAGTGGCCTCGTGGCCGAGTCCGAGTCCGAGTCAGCGTCAGCACTCGTTCTCAGCAAGACTCCTATGGGGAGCCACACATTGGGATCGACGAAGACATGTTCAGACTGTATTGACCCTGATTTGAGCATAGACTAACTATAGTAGTAAGTATACAAACCTACCTTGTTTTCTTAGCCATTGTCTCGCAGAAGGGTCGCGTGGCATGCGAAAGCAGGCGAGCTACTACTTCATTACATAATCATTAACATCCCTCATCCAACCTCTTTGCTAGTAACGCAAGGGAATTGTTGCATACGGCACGCGATCGATAAGCCTTTCCCAAGTCTCACTGCAGGTGTTAGTCAAAAGGCCTGTTGCAAGAGTTATTCAACAGACTTTTTCACTAAAGCCCTGTTAACTGTTCAGATCTCTTGGATCAAGCCGGTATGTTTTTCATGTTCTCGAAGCACGTATCTCACAGCGTTCCACATATAATGCAGCACGCCATGCTGATATGACGAGGCTTGTATTGTGTATCCCCAGATTCATCATGGCAATGTCTTTGTCATATTTAGTTGTATCTTACCATGTGGCACTTTGACCTGGAGAAGACCCTAGAAGACCGCCGTTGCTCTTGCGCTTGCCATATGCACCCTCGTCTCTTTATCAAATATCCCTTTTCAAGAACACACAGCATGGGTTGAGAGTGCTGCTACAGAGCTGTAGAGTTCCTGCGTGATGGATTCAATTCAAATGTACGTGTTCCCTCATAATTCACGATGAGAGTGAAGTGGTATTATATGGGAAAACGCAAAAATCTGCCAAACCCGGCACATCGCGAGGCTGTTGTTATGTTCTTTTACACCGGCCCTTATCGAGTCTTTCGGATACATCTAGAAAACAAGTACCCTTGCCGTGCTTGGCCTTGATTGCTGTCGCAGTATTCATTTTATGACGTTTAACATCCCGATAAACTGATTCAATTGCGTCCTTGACGGCCTTTCAAAGAATGGCAACGGAAGTGGTACCCAAAATTCATCGCTAGGGAGTACGGCTTTATCTATGCCTGCCTACTAGAGTTGCTCAAGTGGATTATGGAAAATCCCCATCATGGACCCCAGCCCGTCGAACAATGACTCAGGTTGGATGGTAGGGACCTGTATCTTTCAAAGAATCCACGACTGACTATTTCAACCAGGGCGATGTCGTGCATTGTCGATGACGTATACAATATGCCTACCGTCGTTCAGGCCTTCAGGTACTACTAAGTCTCAAATATCATAGTACATGTTTCATGTTCTATCAGGTACACTGTTGAAAATTTCCCATTCGACAATCGTGCTGGGGATTACATCGTGTTTGCCTCCTCGTTGTCTGTTTGAAGATTCACCAGCTGATATCGAATTTGACTCTCAGTTTACAATGGAGGGGGCCGTGCATGGTTCTGAGCGCGAATGCAGTTTGTTGTCAGTTTCACTCAGTTCTCATGCACGTATTACCCTGAGCCACATCTTCAACGGGAGATTGTTTTCGATAATCTTGAACACTGCCATTTTTGCCTGACATTACCGGCTCAGGGTCCAATATTATAACTAAAAGTATGCATTTACGAACGCAATAGTCAAGCACTTCAGAACGAGCTTCGACCAACTCGGCTTTTTAGTTGAGTGTTACCTCATTCTGGAAACCAATCGAGGCCTAGAGTAGGCGAGTATGCCATCTCAGTTATGTATTAAAGGCAGAGGGCAACTCTCAATTTGAAAGCATTACAATCCCTACTTTCTATCCATCTATCATGTCTGATTCGCCCAATCCACCCAATGGCATTATCGAAATCTTGACCATAATCATAGACGCGGCGACCCTGTCTAAAAAGGTTATAGACGTATGTATACGCTTTCTCAGTCTTCAACCCTGAGCATGATCAAATGATGTCCTCGTCACAACTCGTAGACTATACAGGAAGTCGTCCCTGGGGCAGGCGATGATCTCAAGGAAAAGTTCCACTGGATCAACTGTTCCCTCAAGAATGCTACCCAATTCCACTACTCAGTTGTAGACACCTATTTTGACTCAGGCCGCTACTGGAAAGCACCGGGAGGCGATGGACCATTTACTTCAACAACATTCTCTTGCTGCAATGGTGATGGTGCCGTCACAGGCGTGACAGGGGGCACAGCGTTCACACTGTGGCTTGACTCTAAACATTCATTCGACTTCGCAGTGGTGTGTACTAAGCATTCCTTGAAGTTTGAACAAAAGGATTTATTGTTTGTTTGTTCGGTACAGGGCTGGACGGACCCGATCTTAGGGTCAATGAAAGCTGGAGTCGTAGAATCCGCTGTTGCCAAGGATGGCTACAATGCGGCAACCAGAGAAGGAGGGCATATTCAATCCAAGAACCACTACAAGGGAAAGGACGAGAAAGGCGTCCCTACGGAGTTCTATATTCGGATCTCAGCTTCACCGGGCAAGGACCCTATGTCGTTTGTAGTGCAGCAGGTTCCGGTTGGTGATGAGAAAAACGACGAGGACAGTACAGGGGGAGAAATAATGGCTGAGTAATTGACCAAATATGATGGTCATTTCTTCTAGCTTCGACGGCATAGTGCCTGTCCGCCGAGCTTCACGTGCAGGTCGACTCTCGTCTTCCATGACCGATGCGAGTGAGGCAACAAGAGAGTGTGTCACAGAATTCTGGAACGGCATTGCTCGCAGAAACTTGGAGTATTATAATTACTGTACTTATGTAAGCACAATTCTATCACAGCAGTTGGTCCATTTTTTCAAACGCCGAAGGTAGCGCTGTGGGCTTTGATTAAAATTTAGACAAGTTCAACGCTGGCCGCGAACACATAGAGACCCTGCCTCTTGTGTATTATGTTTGGTGCGCGAATCCAAACACTTGGCGGTATTATTCATTCATTGTGAACCTTGATTCATCGCCGTGCTTTTGTGTTGCCACAGGTAAGTATATCATAGATCCATGTATCCAACACTCGATGTCACTGATCTGCGATGGACTTACACTGGAATTCCGGAGCCAAGACAGCGACTGCAACAGTCGAGCTTCTCGAACGACAGAATATCAACATCAAAACCCATGGGAAACATCAAACAATATCTGGGCATTTGAAGTGCTCGGAGAACTACAAAAGGGCGGATATACAGTACAGGAACATTTGTATGGCAAGTCTTCTAGATCATGGTGATTGCATCATCCTGGCTGAGTATTTCCATGCAAAGATAGAGGATGGGATGCTTACCGTGCGCTTCATCGCGTGAAGATGTAGTGCTATGTTGCGATATGCGACTGTTTTGGATTTGTATCTTTGGCACCCCATGAAGGTGGAATAAGGATTCTAAAGCAACCATGTGTCCATACGATGGCTACACATGTGCAAGCATCTGACTACGATGTGACTTTCGTAGCCTGCCTCTGAATTTATTGAGTATGATGAAGTGACAATGGCGTTCTTGGTTTATCTGATGGATCTCGCCTTAGCTCGCAACCTTTACCGGCCCCTGCTCAAGTCGGCACTGCAAAACATCACTGAAATACATGGCCACTGACCGAGGCTGTACAATAGAAATCGGGCTTTTTACCCGTTACAGGCTTCTCATCTCCCATGTGCGAGTTCTGGTTTGACCTAGTATGTATGGATCTCTTGGGATCAAGCCGGTAAAAAATTTACAGCCGGTATGTTTTTCATGTTCTCGAAGCACGTATCTCACAGCGTTCCAGATATAAGACAGCACGCCGGGCTGATATGCCGAGGCTTGTATTGCGTATCCCCAGATTCATCATGGCAATGTCTTCGTCATATTTAGTTGTATCTTACCGCGTGGCACTTTGACCTGGAGAAGACCGCCGTTGCTCTTGCGCTTGCCATATACACCCTCGTCCCTCTATCAAATATCCCTTTTCAAGGACGCACAGTATGTGTTGAGAGTGCTGCTACAGAGCTGCTCAAAAATCCGGAGTTCCCGCGTGATGGATTCGAATCAAATGTACGCGTTCCCTCATAATTCATGTTCGCATGAGAATAAAATGGAGCAAACGCAAAATTTTGCCAACCTGGCACTTCGCGAGGCTGTTGCCGTGTTCTTCTACAGCGGCCCTTATCGAGTCGCTGAGAAACATCCAGAAAACAAGTACCGCTGTTACGCCTCGGGCTCAGCCAGCGATGCCGAAGAGTGCGTAAATACTTGTTTCATGCATATCACACCCGATCAAGGGTCTTGGAGTGGGATCAAACATCTCCATCATGCTGATTTTGATGATACGAGGGCAGCGCTGAACGGTGGTATATCTTGCACGAACGCTATCGTTATACACCACTAACCTTCCTCACTCGCTCGCCCATCCCTCGAACATGACCTACATCTCAAATGATCCCGTTTACTGGCCATATATCAGTGTGCATATTTTTGTAAGCTATTGTATAGGTTTGTCGCATCAAGATGTCTGGATCCACCATTGACTTGCGGTTTTACAGTTGCTGCCGGCATCGTGGTGGTATACGACTGGGGTGAGCAGGACAGTGTTCGAGAATCGCTGATATTCTCATGATATTTACAGTCTTAACACTCGGACAAGAGGTACGTCGATTTTATCGCCGTAGCAGCCAACTCGCTAAGAATGGAGTCATAGATTGAACTCATCTGGGTGAGTGACAAGAGTCCCGCATCAGAAGGAAACAAGAGCGTGCAATTAATTCGCGACAGAGACAACGCTGGTCTCTCATGACTGTGCTGTATTTGATTGTTCGTGCCTCATGTTGTGTTCTAGCGTGGTGGGCAACTTGTGCTGAATCCAAAATGTTATAGATACGCTATATTGGAATACCGTATTCTGCGTATGTGTCGAGATCAACGACTTTGCACTGTGCTAATAGCTCGTCTCTGACAACTAGTACCAGTGTTCTGCGTATGTCTCATATGCTCTGTGTTTTATTTTCTGACTGGCGGGACACAGGAGGTGGTATGCCATCGGTATCGCTGACAGATGCAGTAAGTATTCTGCAACCATCTCATTCTCATCCAATCAATACGCTCATATGTAGGGGCGAGTGAGATTCCAACCATTGAACTTGCCTCAACATACTGACTCAATAGGTGTAAGTCGGAGTCTTTGATACTAGTGCGAGGGCGTTCACTAATTGGGAGTTTTAGGCAATATCACGTACTACGTAATAAATGGTACAACTGTGGCCTTGACTGTCATGTTGGGCGGTAAGTCACGCAGGTGCAATACCTCTGTGATATGGACCTGACTGACACACGATGCAAGCCATCATGATCGCTCGGTTGCATGCCATGTATCAGGGATCCAGAAAGATGTTTATGTTCCTTGTTATTATCTTCCTGGCTGTAAACATCGCCTGCGGAGTGATCGCGGCAATAGGACTCGACGATACTACAGCAGGTAAGCTTTACTTGTTGACTTGAGGAACACGGCTCATTGGACAAACATCAGAGGAGTTGATACTCTTTGACATATACTATATGTGCGATTATGGACTTGATCAGGACGAGCAGCTTCTGTTTTCGATGCTTTGGATGCTCAACATTGTTTGGGAGGTCCTCGCACTGTGTCTTTCAGCCTGGATTGCTGTGAAACACTTCCGTGAGCTACGACGACTCGGCCCATCGACAGGATCAACCATCGGGGATTGTTTCAGAGTGCTGGTACAATCTCACGTTCTTTATTTTGCAAGGTGAGCTTGTAATGCGAACACGGTTATATTTTTCTGCTCAAGTTCCGCACATGTTAGTTTTGTTGGTGTCTCTTGCCTCCAGCTTGGCGATCTCTCTCCAGAAATCTCGGTGCGCTGATCATCTGCGTGTAAACACTGCTCATCAGTTCTATAGAATTCAAATTCTATTGGAGTTCAGATACTCGCAGGTGCTCTTCAAATTTTATCGTTCGTGCAGATGTTTGTGCTAGGACCACGCCTCATCCTGAGCGTTCGAGAATACCATGCCAAACTCGTGGCATGCTCTGACGCAGGAACTAGCATGAATTCGATTGTTCTCCAGGAGCATGTACATGTATCAACTAGCAGTACTGTGTAGGGAAATGCTTGCCGAGTGGTCTGCAGGGAGGAGAAATTTGATTTCGGATCCGTCGTGATATTTATTTAACATATAGAGTTTCGAAGTATACTTGAAGGATCCAGGCAAAACTATTTCTTGTTGTATCATTACTGGAACGAAGTACCTGCGCTTGAACCAAGTGGTAAGGTGAAATTGTCCGGAACGACTAGCAACCACAATAATCCTTGATAGCCGATGTTAAGATACAGCGAGAATCAGTGAAAGTGCCTGATTCTGCGCGTTGGTGTTCCACTGTCTGGACATATAGATACTGCGAATCGTGAAGCCAGATAGCTGATGACTCATCGGTGCTCGAATGCGATTTCCTGCATGCGATGGGCCACGGAGAATGAAATGAATGGATCACGTAGACTCGTGGCTCGACTGGTCACTGCACGTCTCTCGCGAATGAGCATTACAAGAATATGGGGTCTGCTGAGTGCCGCTACTGAAAAGCACCGGAATGCGATAAACCGTTCTCTTCGACGTCGTTCTCTTGCTGCAATGGTGATGGTGTCGTCACAGGCGCAACAGGAGGCACAGCGTTCAGCCTGTGGCTTGACTCTAAACAATCATTCGACTTCGCAGTGGTGGGTACTAAGCATTCCTTGAAGTCTGAACAAAAGGATTTATTGTTTGTTTGTTCGGTACAGGGCTGGACGGACCCGCTCTTTGGGTCGATGAAAGTTGGAGTCTTAGAATCCGCTGTTGCCAAGGCTGGCTACGATGCGGCAACCAGAGAAGGAGGGCATATTCGGTCCAAGAACTCCTACATGGGAAAGGACGAGAAAGGTGTCCCTGCGTAGTTCTATATTCAGATGTCAGCTTCATCGGGCAAGGACCCCATGTCGTTTGTAGTGCAGCAGGTTCCGGCTGGTGATGAGAAAAACGACGAGGACAGTACAGGGGGAGAAACAATGGCTGAGTAACTAGTGACCTTTCTCGATGGAGCAACACTCTTAGTCTCATATATACTTACTTAAGTACTATGTAGGCAGACCAAATATGATAGTCATTCCTTCTAGCTTCGATGGAATAGTGCCTGTACGTCGAGCTTCACGTGCATGTCGATTCTAGATCTCATCTTCCATGACCGATGGGAGTGAGGCAATAAGAGTGTGTGTGGAACGGCATTGCAGAAAGTATTACTGTACTTACATAAGCACAATTCTATCAGCAGTTGGTCCATTTTTTAAACGCCGGAGGTAGCGCCACGGGCTTTGATTAAAATTTAGACAAGCTTCAACTGGCTGCGAACACATAGAGACCCCGCCCCTTGTGTATCATGTTTGGTGCGCGAATGCAAACACTTGACGGTATTATTCATTCATTGTGAACTTTGATTCATTGCCGTGCTTTGGTGTTGCCACAGGTAAGTATATTATAGATGTATCCAACACTCGATGTCACTGATCTGCGATGGACTTACACTGGAATTCCGGAGCCAACACAGCGACTGCAACAGTCGAGCTTCTCGAACGACAGAATATCAACATCAAAACCCATGGGAAACATCAAACAATATCTGGGCATTTGAAGTGCTCGGAGAACTACAAAAGGGCGGATATACAGTACAGGAACATTTGTATGGCAAGTCTTCTAGATCATGGTGATTGCATCATCCTGGCTGAGTATTTCCATGCAAAGATAGAGGATGGGATACTTACCGTGTGCTTCATCGCGTGAAGATGTGGATGTTGCGACATGTGACTGTTTTGGATTTGTATCTTTGACACCCTGTGAAGGTGGAATAAGGATTCTAAAGCAACAATGTGTCTGTACGATGGCTATGCATGTGCAAGCATCCGACTACAATGCGACTTTCGTAGCCCGCCTCTGAATTTGTTGAGTATGATGAAGTGAGTGACAATGGCGTTCTTGTTTTATCTGATGGATCTCGCCTGTAGTTCGCAACATTTACCGGCTCCTGCTCAAGTCGGCACTGCAGAACATCACTGAAATACAATGGCCACTGACCGAGGCTGTACAATTAGAAATCGGGCTTTTTTACCCGTTACAGGCTTCTCGTCTGCCATGTGCGATTTCTGTTTTGACCTAGTATGTATGGCATCTTATGTTTAACAGGTATCAATGACACAGCATGAGTCACGATGTATTCACCAGTGCAATGCATCGCCGTCGCATCAAGTGCACGATCGGATCCACCGAATAGAGTGCGCTGTTGTGTTTGTTCTCTGACTTTTACCACACTACAGAATGCGACATTATTACAGAAAGCAATCGGGGGAGCTAATAGCAAGTCTCGAACTTGACCAAAAAAACACACATGCTCATTGCGATCGCATCATGCTTATACCTGTGTTAGATCGATGGCCACATTGCCACCTTTCATACAGAACACCTCGAAAATGGCATTGGAAATAAGTTTGCGATATCACTAACGACTGGAACTTTTCTGGTATCCGAGTAGTCGCATGCGTAATAGTGATTTGGAAATCGTGCTTAATTACCGGTTTTTGGTTTGATTTCGCACCTTGAGGTGTGATCAAATATCCATCTCCGGCATGATGATTTTGGTGATACGAGGGATGAACGGTGGTATATATTGCACGAACGTTGTCGTTATACACCACTAACCTTCCCCACTCGCTCACCCATCCCTCGAACATGACCTCCATTTCAAATGATCCCATTTGGTGGCCGACAATCAATTTCAATATTTCTTTCAGCTATTTGGCAGGTTTGTCACGCCAGGATGTCTAGATATAACGTTGACATGCAGTTTCGCAGTTGCCGCGGGCGTCGTGGTGGTATACGATTGGGGTGAGCAGGGCAGTATTCGAAAATCACTGATATTCTCATGATATATCTAGTCTTAACACTCGGACAAGAGGTACGTCGATGTTATCGCCGTAGCAGCCAACTCGCTAAAAATGGAGTCATAGATTGAACTCATCTGGGTGAGTGATAAGAGTCCCGCATCAGAAGAAAACAAGAGCGTGCAATTAATTCGCGACAGAGACAACGATGGTCTCTCATGACTGTGCTGTATTTGACTGTTCGTACTTCATGTTGTGCTTTAGCGTGGTGGGAAACTTGTGCTGAATCCAAAATGTTCTAGATACGCTATATTGGAATACCATATTTTGTGTATGTGTCGAGATCAACGACTTTGCACTGTGCTAATGCTCATCTCTGACATTTAGTGTCCATCTTCTGCGTATGTCTCATATGCACTGTATTTCATTTTTCTGACTGGCAAAACACAGAAACTATGCCATCGATATCGCTGACAGATGCAGTAAGTATTCTGCAACCATCTCATTCCCATCTAATCAATACACTCATATGCAGGGGTGGGTGAGATTCCAACCATCGAACTTGGCGCAATATAATGATTCGATAGGTGTAAGTCGTAGTCTTTGATGCTAGCGCAAGGGCGTTCACTAATTGGGGGTTTTAGGCACTATCACGGACTACGCACTGAATTGGACAGGTATAGCCTTGACTGTCATGTTGGGCGGTAAGTCACGCAGGAGCAATACCTCTGATATTGACCTGACTGACACACGATGCAAGTCATCATGATTGCTCGGTTATATGCCATGTATCAGGGATCTAGAAAGATGCTTATCTTCCTTGTTATTATCTTCCTGGCTATAAACATCGCCTGCGGAGTGATCATGGGAATAGGACTCAACGATATGCCAGCAGGTAAGCTTTACTTGTGGACTTGAGGAACACGGCTCATTGGACAAACGCCAGAGGAGTTGATACTCTTTGACACATATATGTGCGATTATGGAATTGATCAGGACGGGGAGCTTCTGTTTTCGATGCTTTGGATGCTCAAGACTGTTTGGGAGGTCCTCGCACTGTGTCTTTCAGTCTGGATTGCTGTGAAACACTTCCGTGAGCTGCGACGACTCGGCCCATTGACAGGATCGACCATCGGGGATTGTTTCAGAGTGCTGGTACAATCTCACGTTCTTTATTTTGCAAGGTGAGCTTGTAATGTGATCCCGGCTATATTTTTCTGCTCAAGTTCCGCACATGTTAGTTTTGTTGGTGTCTCTTGCCTTCAGCTTGCTGATCTCTCTCAAGAAATCTCGGTGCGCTGATCTGTGGCTGACATCTGCGTGTAAACACTGCTCATCAGTTCTATAGAATTCAAATTCTATTGGAGTTCAGATACTCGCGGGTGCTCTTCAAATTTTATCGTTCGTGCAGATGTTTGTGCTAGGACCACGCCTCATCCTGAGCGTTCGAGAATACCATGCCAAACTCGTGGCATGCTCTGACGTAGAAACTAGCATGAATTCGATTGTTTTCCAGGAGCATGTACATGTATCAACTAGCAGTACTGTGTAGGGAAATGCTTGCCGAGTGGTCTGCAAGGAGGAGAAATTTGATTTCGGATCCGTCGTGATATTTATTTAACATATAGAGTTTCGAAGTATATTTAAAGGATCCAGGCAAAACTATTTCTTGTTGTATCATTACTGGAACGAAGTACCTGCGCTTGAACCAAGTGGTAAAGTGAAATTATCCGGAACGACAAACAACCAGAATGATCCTTGATGGCCGATGTTAAGACACAGCGAGAATCAGTGAAAGTGCCTTGACAGCTGATTCTCGCGTGATGGTTAAGCTTAAAGCCCCGCATTAATAGAACCACGATGGATGAACCTAGAATAGATGCCGGGCTAGATAAGACGTGGATGAAGATACGAATCCTGAAAGACACACATTAGGACGACGACACGAACGACAACGAAAGCATGTCATCGGGAATCATATCGCCGATTTTGTTAAAATTCCAAGTCTTTCTTATATCTAGATCGAGGGAATTGATGAGTTAAACCCTTGTTAGAACCTACATGTCTCCGGTTCAAGGCGTGCCTAGCTGGGAGGCCTTAGAGTGGCTGAACTCCTCGCTGATGTCCCTTCTCCAAAAGGTCTGCCTTCGATAACATTTATGAGTCGCCGAGCCCTTTCTAAATGAATGTAGGATCGCGGATATGCGCGGAACAGACCTAAGTCACGTTTCTGCTTTCGCTTTGGTATCATGGTTGATACGTTGATGATGCACTTGCTTGTCGTCCACTAGTAAGCTTGAGTCAGAGAGGCTGTTGAAACGAGCGATCAATGCTGATATTGGGAGGTCGTACGAAGATGGAACGCACTGCGCAGCTTGAATCTGTTCGCCTAACGTTAGACTCGAAGGCTAGCTCGTGGATTTTTCTTTGCATGTGTGTGTTGAGTTCAGACGTAATGAACCTCCGACAAAGTTGAGCCGAGCGCTTCAGATCCAGACAATACCCCCGGAGTCTGTGATAGAGTTGCCCCCAGACTGTCCATTTCTCGGACGTTCTCGACAGCGACTACAATGTATATAATAGCTATTTCTGAGGTGTCACAGGTCACACACTGGCAGCTTACACCTGGATCATGTCGAAGGTAAGTGCGTATCTCCACAATATTCGACCTTTTATCTCAGCTGGTATACTTTGCTTTGAATTTGTATTGCTACTAATCCTTCTATGTCATTGAGACTAAAAAGGTGCGTATAACATTTTTAATACATGATTGATATCCTCGACTCACGAAATTCTTGTTGCCAGCGCACTCGCGAAGAGACTGCTGCGCATGTCATTGTGATATCGATCACGACTGTGATAATATTCTAATGACAGCTCTTCCCTTAGAATATGGTCAGGAAAATGTGGCCGACCTTGAGCTTCATAACCAAGCTGCCGCACATGCAGACTCATCGAACATATGCCGGATGATGATCGATAAGCCATTTGGCACGTCGATGCGCGCCGGGTCACACGTGATCCTCAAACTTATCTGTACCCAAAGTCGTCTGGACCATAACTTCTCGGACTTTCTGACAAATTTCGTTCGGACTCGCTGAGCTTGAAGTCAAGTGAAGTTTGAATCACGCAACCTAGTCCAAGTGCCACTTAACATTTTACACCAGCACCATCATCTCGTCACTAGCCACTCATGATTTTGGGTCCATTATCTGCTTCGGTATTCGTTGACAACCAGCCACTGCAGGAATATAAAGAAGCCCCGTCCGAAGCGCAGGGAGAGAATATAATGACGTGTTGGATTGCCTCAGAAGCGGGCAAGGTATAGCATTGATCATACTTGTGTACTACTAGTAATGAATATCCCCACAAGGAATTCGAAATCAGAGGGAAGATTTTAAAGCCGCAGCCCTTAGGTATCTGGGCATCTGCCTTTGTGGATGGTCTCAAATGTCCTCCATGGGTCTCGCCCCCGCGCTGGAGAGGTACTGTTGAATTTGATTGTATATCTGATGGAACCGATTGTGGCAGATTGATGTTCAAAGACATTGAATTTACTGGTGCGTACATAAAGCAGTGTCCAGAATTTGCTTCTACCTAATAATACTGCACTTCAGACGATGATGACTCAGTGCTCGACGATCGTTCCAGTGGCATTGGTCAGATTGTGTTGCGCTTGCAGAAAGGGAAGTTCATCAAGGCAAAGTCGGTTAGGAAAGCAAAGTCCAAGCCGGCCAGGAGAGCAAAATTGACCAGGAATGCAAAGTTTACTGGGTTCGCGAGATCTAAGAATGTTGATGGCCACACTCTTCATGTGCATGAAGGCAAGGTGCATGAACGCTCGAAGAAGGGTCGTGATCATCGAGTTGGGTATGTATTATTTTGTTGGATGCTTGATTTTCTATAATTGTTATCTTGTTAAGTTTGGGAAGAAGACTACCGGATCAAGAAGAACAGACGACATATGAAACTATCTGGAGCGACGAGCCTGCAACCGTGTTCATATTCAACTTTACTTCTTTGGGTGGGTCATGGTATTCCCTGCATGTGTTCCCAACTCACGCCAATCTCGGATTCCAGACAACCTGCAAGCAATGGATATAGCGCCACGAACGTCAAATCTACCTATCCCGGTTGATGGGGATAGTGACAATATTTCGATCGACACGCGCATCAAGGAGTTAGAAGTGAGTTTTTGTTTTTGTGGTATCATTTCATTCAACTCATTTCTTTGAAGTTGGAGCTCTACCTCTTACGTGTTAAACAAACGACTGGCTCTACAGACCAAAGGCCATCACCTATCAAGTCGGAACAGTAAACCCATTTTTCCAGTAGAATCTCTTCCATCCTGCCATGTGGAAAAATTGCTAGCGAGCTTAATTAATCTTGCATCTCTGTAGGAAGTGCCACTCGATGTAATCTCCTTTGTACTTCTCGCAAATTCAGCTGTCTATCTTCATTCAATTTAGTGTAGTAAACAGAGTAAACTCGCTAGTGCAACACTAATCATTCGTGCCGACAAACTCTCAAAGGTACCCCAATACTATCCTCTCCAACAACTTGTGGACGGGGTAAAATTCCCCTTGCAATTTCGACTGGAATATCCAGTCCATCCCGCGTCTCAAATACGAAGTTCTTTACCAGAACCGATAGAACCATCTAAGTATGGGAGGTCAGCCTTGGTCATATGTCGGATCAGCGCCAAACGCAAGCAGTTTCTCTGAGTCTGGGTTGGACATCGGAGCGTCGCGATAGTTTGATCAGCACCTACTGATCATCACAATGATAGCGTGCACAGACATTATCTGACAGTAGGATTACCGTAAGACTAACTGTCGATGAGAAGTCGGCGAGTATGATAGCAGCGGACAAGAAACTGACTCACTTGGATGTCGTCTCATAACCTGCGAGAAGTCTCCACAGACCTGAGCCCACTACGTGCTCCGACATATGAAGCTCGGCATCCTGACCTTCGGATTTAACTGATAGCTGCGTTAATCAAGAGATTACGATGGATCTCTTGGAGAGCGTACTCAACGATCCAACAACGGACTTCTCCTCTCTCACTCATATTCACACCCTTCTCCCGGCGGCTACGAATCAATAAGTCGTTAAATGTGTTTCATGGTTTCTTGAACTGATTCATCTGCTGAGTATGGATCTTGGTAATGATAGGAAATACTGATGCGAGCAGGATAAAAACTTGGTTCGCTGCTGAAGCCCGTTGGTTGCTCCCGAAAGTATCGAACACCTCGGTCAGTCAGGCTGGCGTGCTTCGCATCGAGCGAACCAAAATCACGGAAGAAACCAGCAATGCCAATCGCGTCTAGGCTGATGTTGCTTCAATTCCAGGTGTCAACGAAAAAAATGTTTTTGCGTACGATATATGATCCATCCTTTGAGTCGTTTCGATCAGGAATGCCACTTGCCAAGCCAGAATACTGGTATGAGTTTCTGAATCCCTGCATTGCTGAATGCTGGTGCAAGTGCCTTCCGCTGGCTAATTCGCAGGAAGTCGATTAGTCGCTTTCGTAAGGACAAGAGCTGGAGGGCACCCCCTGTGGGTCTCGTCCTGAGACCATAACAGCCCTCTTCCGATCTGACAAGAAATATAAAACAGACGAGGGAAGATGATGGCGCTAACATACTGATGTCTCCAGAATTGCCAATGAAAGGGGAATGTCCACATCTCTCGGGCACAAAAATGTGCTATAGCTCTCGGGTTGCATAGCAAAATTTCAGTCTGTCAGAGGACGTTCGGAATCATATACGCTACCCTCATGCTATATTCCGTCGCCCAACATTCATACATTGCAGCACTATCTTGAGATGAGGCGAGATCTTGCGAAGCACCATGTATGAAGCTGGTACGAGGCGGACCTCGCAGTTGAGTCGTCCTCGATCGCCAGCGAAGCACCCTTAGAAATTCGACAAAAGCCCATAACGCGGCAGATGAACAAGCAACGTCGAATGCACCAACCGAACATAAGATTGTCCAGAGACTTAATGGAGACGGCGCAGGGATAGTGAATATCTTCATCGTCTTGTTTGATTCGAAGTAAGAGCTTCATGTGCACGCTGCCTGCAGTAGCATGCATATGGCTATAAAATCCACCGGCTTGTTGTAGGAGTTAAGTGCACTGTCGACTGCTGCAGTGCTTACCCCGGCATCACTGTTTATCGTCGGCAATGATTATTCATGTAGAAGCAAAACCACATCAGCTGGCCAGGACTTTGAACTAGAGCACTCCCCAGCGAGAATGAGAATTCGACGGAATTTAGGGCCGGTGTCTGAATTGAAATTGTCGAGCGCTCCGACTCAGTGAGCGCTGAGCAAACGAACCCTAATCCATGAAGAGCAACAATTATGTAATCTTATGATGAGTCGTCCACTCCGACTCCACCTCGCGTGCCAGGGCGTAAACTTTATGGTTACATCTATGCGTTTGTTGTCGATTTTGTGATGCGAAAGAGATCAGTTAATTGCGCAATGAAGGTAATTGATCTAGAACAAATAGTAGATACTTGAGACGAAGCTATTTGGGCTGAAAACCCGAAGGGTTTTTCGACTCGAAACAGTGTTTCGACCCTGTGCGCAAGGAGGCCAGGGTGAGCCGTGAGGGCGGGTGGGCCTCAGTAGCTTACTGGTCAATTTTTTAAAATTTTACCAGTCGAAAATGCTGCGTCGAGTGTGTTTTTCCATTATATGAAAACCTTATTTTGGTGCATCCCATCAAATGATCTTTAACGAGACGCTTTGCTACTGTTAAATGAGGGAGTGGCGGGTGGGTGCAACGAAACGAGAGTGGAGTCGAGGAGAAGAGAACTTGCGAGTAGTACGTAGTGGTACGAAGCAAGAAAGGTGAGTCCACAAAAGTCTTCAATGTCGCGTAGACCCAATTCTACGTAATACCTCGTGCCTCGGGATTACTTAGAATATAATCTATGCGTTTGTTGTCGATTTTGTGATGCGAAAGAGATCAGTTAATTGCGCAATGAAGGTAATTGATCTAGAACAAATAGTAGATACTTGAGACGAAGCTATTTGGGCTGAAAACCCGAAGGGTTTTTCGACTCGAAACAGTGTTTCGACCCTGTGCGCAAGGAGGCCAGGGTGAGCCGTGAATCCCAAAAATTACAGGAGCCCTGCGACACGTCAAGGCTTAGCTTGGACTCCCAAACAACCAGGAGAAGGGTGATATGTACATACCTTGATTAACGAAGTGGTGGCATGGTATAGCGAGTGAATGGCTCCAATGCGGGCGATTCCTGCAAGTATGGGGCCATGATCATGGCGTGCTGACGCAAATATCCGGTAAATGCATCGCTAGACCATCTCCCCATTGATTTTACGACGTCGAAAGGAACACCTCTCAAGAGATACTCTAAGGTGCCTCCAATGCGAAGTCCATGCCCCTTCAAGTTTGGCATGTTATTCTTCCTGATTATCTCTCCTATCCTTTTTAAGAACGTCGTTCGTGTGAGTGGTCTCATTCCGTTAGGGTGACGCCAAGCAAAAAGATGTTCGCCGTGTGCTGGATCATTTACTGCAAAATGATTGATAAGTGCCGTCTTTGGGTCAGTGTGATCTGCTTGATGCGCCCAGTAAACGTCCTCACCGGAGAACGAAGTTTTGGTCCGCGGAAGATGAATCTTTGTGACTCGCAGGCCATTGCGATCTTCAGCATCCATTATCACGTCGGAACGTTTGACGTGTTGACTACCATCAAAACCTGTTATAGTCTTGACTGTGAATTCTCTGAGGCGCGATAACGAATAGAATGTGCTCGTCAAGCACGCGAGAACGGCAGCGTCGAGCGGAAGGGATGAGTTGAGATGTGATTGAATGTCCAGAATGTTTTTGACAGTGAAAGGTGCACGTTTTGTTCATCTGGAGGATCGTGGAGCGAGAGTGATGGCTCCATCTAATGCGGCTTTCAGTTGATCTTGATCCACCCCCCAGGTTTGACCATGCAGAATATGCCAGGCGCGAATCGCATATACATAGTTGGCTAAGGTTCGTCCCGCATATGACCCTGCACAACTTGTGATAAAGGCCAACACGGTAAGGGTATCTGCTGGGCAGCGTTGCTCTTCTGGCACGGTGCGTATATCGCAAAAAAACGTGAAAAACTAAGAGACCAGCTCCATAGCATTCCCTCGTTCCTTGTGCCCATGCTAAGTTCATAACCGACATGACTCTCTCCAGATCTTCATCCGTAATGGCTAAGAATCTCCCATTACCATCTCGCGCTGACCTGCTTTGTAGTGGGAACCAAAGCTTTAACCTGTCGCGTGCGAGGCAATGAGGGCGAAGTGATGATGGGATGGGTGTCAGTCCCGCTTTGTAGGGCTGGGGTTTGGTGATTGGATCTATTGGAAGGGATGCACCAAACCGCGCGTCAATTGTGCCATTGTCGTTCGTTGACATGATAGAGGTGATCGGGGATGATGGTGCTATCAGGATTCTCATGGCTGAGGTCGGAATCGTCGACAACAGAGCTTGGGGCGACGTAGCTGCTCTTGCAGCGATCTCGGAATCGTTTGCAGCGGGAATCGCTGACGAATGGATCAACGATGAATTGATCAAGTTCGATGGGAATTGGGAAAGCGGGGAGCAGGAGTTCTGTGCTGGCATAGATTGCTCTGGAAGGGTCATCAGCGGGATTAGAGGCGCTTGAGATGTATGCCGGGTAGATAGTGTATGGAGTTGGTTGATCGTGGATGAATGCGAAGATCCGTCGGAAGATTGCATTAACGGCCGAGTTCCTGCTGCGCCCGTTGCGCCAACCCTCAACAACGCCTTTGTTGTCTCCAAAGACGCGCAGATGGCGTTCTGGTCCTCCCAATTGGATAAGGTGTTGAGTGAGGAGCTCAAACCCGACTGCTTCGGCCCATCCAATATCTTTTTTGCCATCAAGTGTCTGCCAACCTGGACGAAGACGCCACGCTCTCCATCGAGATCCAATGACAATAGCAATTCCGATGCCCGAGCTAGCGTCTGAGTAGGCCTTTGGGTCATGTAAATGATTGATTGGTGAGGGAATGATGCGACCGACGAAGGGGCTTTGAAGAATATTGACCCACCAGTCAAGATCTGCTGTGAGTGTCTTAAGTGGACTGCGTGGGAGAAAAGGCTTGAAGGAGCCATTACTGAGCATTGCCTCCAGTGAGGTAAGGTACGCGCGTCCCCTTGGAATGACCAACGTGGTGTGGAGTAGTTTACCATACAACTGCTGAACGTCTTGGAGAAAGTGTTTCCTGCGTGCGCGCCACGACTTGATCGCAAGGAGATACTTATCTTTCTTCGGCTGGTCCAGATAAACAACATTGCACGCGATATCCCAAATGAATCCATGTTGTGGCATGAGGCATGAAGCATTATGTATATATGGTGCGCGATATTTCAGCGCATCGAAAAAACGGAGAGGAAAAATTGTTAGTGTATTTTAAAATGTTTTGTTTGAGCGTTACTGACCCTGTAGTCTCTCTGATTATCTCTCTTCGCGCGTTCTTGCCAATAGACCTTATCTCTTGTGCGTTCCAGTACTTTGGTGTTGATGGCGGATAAGTCATAAGGGCCCGCAGCTGATTTTGCCACTACATGCCAGCGTTTCCGCTGTTCTGCTTGATAGGCAAGTAGCGTCTTCTGTGCTATTGGATCCCGCAATGAACGATATTCGTGTACCTGTAGGTTTTTCCAAAAAACCGCTAACATTCTGACGCGATCTGGTGGCCAGTCAGCTTCTTCTATGGCGGCTATAAACCTAGGGCACGCTTGACAAAAGTCCTCAAAAGAAAGGTCCTCGTCGTTGACGACGGATGAAGCGTTGCAAGCCGAAGCGGAAGATACCCATGCTGTTGAACCGTCAGGGAGAGATGATAATACCATTGCATCCTCTTCAATGGTGGTCTTCCTAACGTGCGCCTCGTCGAGACCATCGTTGGTAAAATACCATAATTCCACATATTCGCCTTTGTCCAGTTTGCGAATCGCATATGCTGATGGCGTGACAGTGGGCTCGTCCGGAACTCCAGAAGCTTGAATGGGCGTGTACTTATGTTTGTATTTTTTCTTTTCTTCTTTTCGCGCCGCCTCTTCCTCTGCTAGCTTCTCGCGTTCCTGTATCTCTTCTTGTTCTTCCTGAAGAAAACGAAGTTGGTCGCGTTGCTCTCTGTCAGCTTCAACTTGCTCCAGCCACAATGCCTTCTCGGCGTTGTTTGCGGCCTCCCATATATTCCGTAGAAATTGAACCGCTTGAGCTTCAGTGACTTGTTCGTTCACGATTTGTTCCCGAGCGACAGCATAAGGAAGTGTAGCGTAGTCCGGGCAGACGTTGAAATTAGGATCGTTTCGAATTCTAGGCATTGAATTATATTAAAAACGAGATTAAAAATTGCGACGAAACGAGAGTGGAGTCGAGGAGAAGAGAACTTGCGAGTAGTACGTAGTGGTACGAAGCAAGAAAGGTGAGTCCACAAAAGTCTTCAATGTCGCGTAGACCCAATTCTACGTAATACCTCGTGCCTCGGGATTACTTAGAATATAATATATGTTGGAGTCGGTTGGACAGTTTTGTTGACGACTTAGCAGCAAACGTCTCTCCGCAGTCACCACCGCCCCCAATCGTATCAACTTGAAATAGTGTAGTATCTGACTCAGGCACCAGCGCAGCTTGACATGGACCTCTAATACTCTGCTTCACCTTATCTTTTAACATACCCAAACCCTGCGAAGTCAAA